TCCTGTCGCAGCGTCCTGACCCGGGAACAGAGCTGCAGACGTGACGTTCACCTGTGACAAATATTTCTACTTTATTCACAGAAACAAAACAAAAAAACACCAAGGAGAGAAAAACAGAAAACATAGGAAACATTTACAGTATGAACACAATCAGCTGATGGTGTTCTTGTTTTTTGGCCACATGTTTTTCACCACTTCCTGTGTGCGGTGTTGAGACAATAAAAGCATCAAAGCCACATTCTATTTATTTTATGACTGAAACAGCAAAAACACACAAGTGGAAAAACAGCCGCCCACGTCACGTGACCCGCTGCTGCCACAAGACGAGCGCCTGAAGAAGAAAACATCTGTACACCATCACCTTTCTGAAACCTCTAAACCACCACACCTGTCCCCATCAGGTTCACTCAGATCTCAGGTGAGTCCAGTTAAGATGAGCTGATTGGTGGAGGTGGTTCAGGGGGCGGGGCCCAGCCTAGTTGTCATAATTCAGGTTGTTCAAGTTGTGCTCTTGTGCTCTGTTCAGGTGACTGAGAAACAAAGTGAGGCTTCAGCAAGTGTTTAGTGTAGTGTCAGCATGCTGATGTCCTACGCCACCTGAACACAGCACCAGCCCCCTTTACTCATCTTTACAGTTTAAATTATAAACACAGTCTTCTCCTCCGGTTAGTGAAGCAGCAGCAGCTCAGATTCATGACATCACTGTACACAGAGGCCACACCCACTGTAGGATGGCAGGATGTGTGCTGCAGTTCCTCTAATGTCCAGAAGAGGCAGCAGTGAGTCAGCCCCACACACATGTTTACAGCCTGATACACAAAGGGTCTGGCCCCTTCATGACACCTGTTTGCATTATTAGGGGTGTGGCTTCTGCCTGACAGGTGGATGGTGACACAAGCGGCTGTAGCTGCTAGCAGTCTGCTTCACCTGAGCTGCACCTCCTGACTGTGTTTGTGCAGTTGGAGCCTTTTGGAGCTCCAGTTGGAGTGAGACGCTGAGCAGGTATTGCTTTGATCACTGTTGTCAAGACGAACTTTTATAAATAAAATTACAGTACAGCAGCTGTTTGCTTACTTCACTGACAGGAGAAGAAATCCCCCCCCCTCCCCCCATTGTTGACATGGCAACACAAACATCTCTGTTGTCGTAGTAACACCCAGGTTTCGGCCTCATATACAGAGCATCATCAGTAAATTTCTATTTACAGGATATATTTGTACACAACAGTCGGGCCACCTTTACAAGGTGAAAAATGTCCCAGCATGCAACAGAAACCACCCAGTCGCCTTCAGCTGCACACGTGACAAAGGTCTGATCAGGTGATCACAAAGCCAGGTCACATGATTGACCTAAATCACAAGGACATGAGTAAAAACTGTACAGACGACATCCTCCTCTTCATCAGCGGCGAGATGAAGGTGTTTACCATAATAAGGACAGTTGGAGACGAACAGAGCCGAACTGAACCACACTTTGTCCTTGCTGCTTCTTTTGGGATATTATTTACTGTTAGCAAGTAGCTCAAATTTGGGTGAGTGCCCCACAATGCAAGACTGGCAGAGGCCCCGCCACCTAAAGCAAAACTAAAAGCATAAAAATAAAAAAAAACTAAATAAACTATAAAAAAAAAACAAAAAGGAAAAATAAATAATTTCTTTGACAATACTGGGCACGATCAAACCCACTACTGTAACATTAGCATTTAGCAATCATGCTATAAACTAAGCGATCGTCGACCGTTTTCAGATTAGAAACAAGCTGTTAGCTTTACCTGACTTTATCTTAGCTACCTTCTGTGGTTAGCTCGACATAAGAGTACCATTAGTGTTAGCTTTCTTCAGCAGTTAGCCATGTTAAAATAGTTACGGAACTTTTGAAATGTCAGTATTTTTAAAGCTAACTGTGTCACATATATAATATTAAGTACTGTTATCTAACAGTTCATAAAGTTAGTCTTATTATAGTCTTACCCAGAGATAGCAGAGAGTCTATTCAATTTTAGACTACTGCTTACTCGTTAGCTTAGGCCACTTCCTAGCTGTAGTTCATGTTAAGTCTGAACTCATCACGATACTTTTATAGCTACCTGTTTCAAGCTAGTCTTCCAGCTAGCTGGTTTCTGTTAACAGACTGCTACGTAAGTATCAGCCTGTGTCTCTGCAAACATGACAAGCATGATCAGCGTGATCCAACACATTTACTCTGTTTTAATAGTGTTAGCCTTAACAGTCAGTTACATTTTCAGACTGAAGCAAATTCAGAATCGTCACTGTTAGCGATGGGTAATCTGGGAATAGTTTTCTCTTTATTATTATTATTTTAAACTAAGCACACTCATCTTAGCTAGGTCACCGCTAGCCATTAAATGTAGCTTACAATAAGTTTATCTTTGCCAATATTAACTTTAAGCTATATTAGCCACAAGATACATTAGTGTTATTTAAACAAAACAAAACTGCTGTTAGCTTCCGTTAGCCTTTAGTAGCACTGCAACTGTATCTCAGTGTGCAGACCGGACAGTTTCAGACTTTATTGATCAATCAGATGTTACTGAGAACATGAAATACTTTTTTTTTTAAATTAAAGTGCTTTTCCCTTTCTCATTTCCTGTTTCTGTGGCAAATGTTCATGTTAAACAGGAAGTTCAGTGTGTCTGCAGCTACTGGGAATTATGAGGCTTTTTTTCTATTCATTGATCTGTGTGATGTCACAGAGAAAAGCTCCACCCATCTGTTGTTCAAGTCTTCTGCTTGTGAGATACAGCCAATCAGAATAAAGCACGTTTAAAGGCGGAGGAGCTAAACCGGCTTGTGTGAGACAGCGGCTGAGCTGAGGCTCAAGATGATGGGGACTCATGCTAAGCCGCTCTGTGAGAGCTAACGTTGGAATGAGCAGAACGATCCACCTAACAGTTTTATGGTTTTGAGTCGTCTGTGTTTAACACTGGCTCAATAATTATGCATATTAGTTTCTAAGCTCCGCCTACACAGGTAACCAAATGCATGTAGAACTAACGTCACACAGATGTTGAACTGCATGGATTCACCCGTTAGAAAACTTGACAAGTAGAATAAACTACCTCCCACTTTGCATCTGGGTTATTTTTCTGACATCAGAGGATCATTTTACCTTCTTTACCTCAGACTCAGGGGGCTTGTCTTTTCGCCTTGTCACACGTGGAGGATTTCCTTTGGACCGCTGCTCAAACACAAGCAGATGTGGTTTCACGGTGAGGGCCCTCATTATTATCACTTGTAATAATCAGCAGATGGAGTAGATTAGCTCCGCCTACACCAGGTACAGCATTAAAATCTGGTCAGATTATTTGCTCCTTCCTATCTGGTCTGCTCTGCAGCTCTGTCATCTGTGATGAGTGTAATAGGTCCAGAGTGAAACCTCCACCTGTGAGAAGCTGATTTCTAACAAACCTTGCAGCAAGAGTAAAGATCAGTTCAGCTCGACTCGTCTCCATCACTGCTCATCAGCCACTCCCTCACCTGCAGAGCGACGGCACAGGTGGGATGGAAGCCCATTTCTGCCCACAAATGGAAACACACTTGCTGCAAACGTCTGAACGTTTTACTCTACTTTGTATTTTGGGGGCGCTGAGCCTTTATTAGTCAGCAGAGAGCGGGCAGGAAGTGGCCGTGGGAAATTGAACCTGCACCTATGAGGTGCCTGAAGGTCTCACCTGTGAAATATTTTTTTGTCATTCAGACACGACCTTAAATATTCGATTCATCTTTTACTTTAAAATTCATTTCAGCCGAGGTCATTGGGTAGCATCCCCCCCGAAATGGGCTTCCATACATACAGCACTGACCAATAGGAGCTCAGAACCCGTCACTGTGGTATTGTGTCGGTGCCAGCCCCCTGCTGCAGGAGCTTCGGACACTTTCTGATGACATCATGCAGGCTTTAAGAGACGCTTAGCTCTGATTGGCTGGTACAAATGGGGTGCAAATATGGCTAGATGGTGACAGACGGCCCCGGTGGGGTTGATGGCGTCGTGGGTGTCGCTGTGGTGCTGGAGTGTCGGGGCGGGGCCAGGTTGAGCAGGGCGCCGACGGTCACGGCCACCTGGGGTAGCCCTCGCTCCTCCAGGATGTGAAGAGGAAGGCACAACTGACTCTGCACAGACAAACGCCACAGAAGAAGACACAGCGAGGGGCAGGGGGAACGGATGGAAAACGAAATCAACAGGTAAAATAACTGAAACCATGGCAACGCAAGGATGAAAACAAGGAACGGCAAAAATGATGGAGGAGGAGGAGGAAAGAAGGGGCGGGGTGTGCAGATGGAAGCAGACAGGTGAGAGAGCTTTGAACAGAAGGCTGTGGGCCAAAGACGGGGGCGGAGACAGAAGGAAGTAAGAGACGGATGGGAAGTGTAGTGCCACAGCGGCAGGTGTCAGTTTTGAGCCGGCTGCCATCAAACACGTACAGATTTAAACTCCAACACATTTGCACGGTGACGCACCAATCAGCACACCTTCCACACAGCTAGGAAACATGGGAGTTTATCAGCACTGAGGTTAATCGATCACCTGACTAACAATAACCTCCGAGTTTAGCTCAGTGAGGCCTGAAAGCAGCGACTGCAGCACAAACTTGTCAGGAAGCTCGGATCAGAATCACGCACTCATGCTTACAGAGAGGGGAGCACCCCCTGCTGGTGGAGGAAGAATAAGGCACTGCCGTGTCGTCATCTTCACAACACGCGTGCTAGAAGCTCTGCTAAGGTGTCCTGGGCCACACCAGTGGACCGACTGCAGTGGCAGGAGCTGGTTTCCACCAGGACACCAGTCCAGTGTCGGTGGGTTGCAGGCGAGTATGAAGCATGAAATTAATGTGCTGACATCAGTTTACACCTTGACTGTGTTACCTGATGTCGGGTCTCTGTGAAGAGGATGAAGCGGCCATTGCTAGCATCGATGGAACAAACCAATCAGGAGGCAAAGGCCTCCAGGTGTGTTTGAAAGACAGACAAGTGAGTCGAGCGGCTTTACTGAACTTTATTAATGGAGCTCTAAAAGGAACAGAGCAGAGGCACAGGTCTACAAAACACTCAGACATCCTCATCCTCACACTTCATCGTAGAACAATCCCATCCTGTGACGCTTCGGCGTGCTCCGGCCGGTTGGAGCCACAGGAAACCCGCCCACGTTGAGGCCGAGTCCCCTCCCACTGCAGGATGCCTCTTTGTTCTGCTCGAGTTTCCACCGTCACAGACATAAAAGCGATGGCGAGGCCATCACAGGTCGGTGTCCTGACCCTGCACACCTGTGGGGGTTGCTGCTAGTTCTGCAGTGGGAGGAGTCTCCAGAGCCTCGGTACAGGTGACACTGAAGGTTCCTGCGCTTCGACCGGAGAGCCACCCGGGAGGTCAATGCAGGCATCAGACCACATGTGAAACGCTGATGTGGTGCTCAGAGGTCGTTTCCAGGGAGACGTGTTTCTGATGGGAGGGGCTGACACTTCAAACAGTAAAAAATGGAACGTAAGGCACGGGGCAGAACGCCAACAGGCAGGACGCGAGCGTGAGGGCGAGCTTTGGGGGATCGTCTAGGTCCGACTGAGGGGTCACATGGTCCTCTGGCTCAAACACTCAACTCTGCTGTGCCTCACGCCTTCTACCTGCCCACTGGGCGGAGCATCGGTCACTCAAAGGGTCACGGGGGGGGGCTGGATGTTCATCGTCGTCAGCAGAAAATGTTTCTGTTAATCAGCAAGGAGGCTGCGACACGCACACCTGTACAGGTGAGAGAGGAACGGCTTATGGATGATTTCAAAGCATATGGGAGAGCATTTGATCCAGCTGCTGGAGTGAACTCGCTCGGATGTTCCTCTGAGCCCACAGCTGATTGGCCGATGACAGACGCTCTAACTCGAGTGGCGAGCATCGCCCCACGCTGATCTGAGTCTTCACCTTTGACCTGAACACGTCCACAGGGCCAGGATCAGAGCCTCAGGAGCAGCGTCAGGTCCCGCAGATGGGCGTGTCTACAGACTAGACGCCGCTGCACACGTCAGGAGACAGACGGACCAATCGCAGCCAGGCTCTTCTCCTCGGCCCAGTTTTTGTGCTAAACTAAACCTGAAAGGTGGCAGTACTACGACAGATCCAGGGCAGGATTCCTGCGTCACTGTGGTGAACGGAGACTCTGAGGGGGACATTGCTGGGATAAATTCACGCCCGCTGCGTGCAACTTGGCGAGATCGCCCTCGGCTCGCTCGGCGTCAGACGTGCGGCGCCAGGTGCACATAAATGGCACACAGCACCGACATGACAGACAGGTAAAAGAGGGCGAAGCCGGCCAGCTGGACCTGAGGGGACAGGCTGACCAGGGGAGGAGCCATGGAGAGCAGCACCTCCACTGTGGCATAAACCCCGCCCCCTTTCCCCTCCAGGACGTCGCCCACTGAACAGAGATGGTCCTGAGTGCGTGCGTGTTGGGTGAGATGGACACGGTGGAGGAAGAACAGAGGAGAGACGCACGGAAGGAGGAAGGGAGCGATGAGAGGCGGGACGATGACAGAGAGGAAGAGAGGCGTTAGTAGAAGAAGAAACTTCAAACTTCACCATCAGTCGTCCAGCCCGATTGGTTGGTTCGTTATGATAAACCGCACGCGTATTTATGACTACCCAGCCCCGCCCCATCAGTCATGGCGGCGTGCTGCAGATCGCACTGAGATTTAATGACAGCGTCAGCAGCAGAGGCCGAACCCGTGTCTGAAATCTCCGAGCCGGGGTCAAAGGTCACTCTCAATAAAAACCCCAGCGGGCCCCGTTTCATTAAAGGCATCGGCTCGTCTGGCAGGAGGACTGATGGGGAACATTTGGATTTGCTGTTGTTCGTTCATCGCTCAGGTGTGCATGGTACCTGTGGGACTCCGATGCGGCGACACGCCTCCAGGAAGTTCTCCACGTTTCTGCGGCACTTGGCCATGGTGAGTTTGGGCTGCGGGCAGACGGGACAGTCAGCGGGGCACACCTGAACAGCAGCGCACACATTAACACTTTACTCACCACGGCAGGGGAGGGGACGTGGATGCTGGGGACGGACCGCGGCCTCACGTGATTGGCCAGGTGACAGAGAACCACGCCGTCCGTCAGGGCTGCTCCCAGGTCACTCGGCAGTGACACTTTGAGACGAGCCTCGATGTTCTTGGAGGGAGAGAGAGGGCAGATCAGTCACCTGTGAACAAGGTAACCCACCCAGGTGAGTCCAGGTACGCACCTTCCTGAGTTGCTCCACCACCTCGACGTCCTCTGCAGCAAGAGGAGGAGCGGCGGGAGCCTCCTCCTGGCTCGGAGGAGCAGAGGTGTCACCTGGAGGACAGAGAGGGAACAGCAGTCACACAGAGCACACCTGACAGGTGAGTGAGGCTGAGGACACACCCCCACAGGACCTCACCTTTCCTCTTCTCCTCCCTCTGCGCGAGCCGGAACAGGAAGCTCTCTGGCCGCACATTGGTAGTTCGACAGGAGGCCACGCCCCCCGAGCTGGGGTAAGACGGCGACTGATTGGCTGAAAGAAGAGAAAATCCAGGTGTGAGCGGGAGGCAGGCGAACACTGGGGAGGGGAGGGGCTTCGGTAAACTGTCGGTCTTACCTGTAGGAGAGAGAGCAGCTCGGTCCTCACCCTGTGGGACAACACAACACAGTCACACAGCTGGACACACCTGGAGGTCAGTGCGAGGCAGCGAGCTTCAGGTGTGCTGCTAGCTCCAGGCTGCTCAGGTGTGTCAACGCTAATGATGTCATTTCAGGTAAAATACTGATTAACATTCAGTGGAATCACTCAGGTACTCTTCACAGGTATTTCTGATCATGTGACTGAACAAAAACAGCTGCTCTGGGGGCGGGGCCGAGACCACTTCTTTCCTGAAACAGTGAAATGACGTCTGTAACTGGGACGTCCTGCAGTGGACACCGGGCCTCATTCACCGAACACGCGTCAGCAAAATCACACACGTGAAACATGAACAACACGACAGCGAATCACAGTCATTTCTCACTTTAATGAGAAAGAACGCCAGAGGACGCTCGGCTTCCACGGCAGCGGTTAAAAACACCGGACTGAAACACAATGAGGCTATGTCCACACGTACACGGGTATTTTTGAAAATGAAGATTTTCCGTTTTCGTTTATACAAAAAAATCCCGTCCACACATAAAAGCCAAACACGAAGGAAAACGCTGCTAGGAACAGGCAGGTGGCGCTATATCTCTAGCCGTGTAGAAATGTTGGCCAATCAGAAGTCGATAAGCCTGGGTGGGAAAGAGTAAACAAAGATGGGGCATAGAAGCAGAACTGAGTCGTCTGTGTGGAGGGACAGTAACTGTGTGTGTGTGTGTACGCATGTAAACACTGCAGAGTAACAGTAACAGTGTTGTAGAAATTCATTTCACCGAAACAACGTGGCGCACACCTTTGACACTGCGTTTTCTGCGTTTACCTCGTCCACACGTAAACGCAAAAACGGAGTTTTTGAAAATCTCCATTTTCAGTGACCGAAAACGCCGTTTACGTGTGGACGAAAGGCGCAAACGCATAGAAAAATCTGCGTTTTCAAAAATACCCGGGTACGTGTGGACATAGCCTGAGACTCGTGAAAAAAACGAAAAGAAAAAGACCTGAGCGCCGACGGATAGAGAAGGAGGAAGTCAGCAGACAGGCAGCACCTGACAGACGACTGGTCTACGATCGTCGCCATGTCCAACGCCGTTCGGCCCCGTTAACATCACCACGTTTGTTTTGGTTTTTTCGACTTTTTGCAAACTGAAACAGACCAAAGAGAAACGACGTGCAGCGAGACACCTCAAAGGACCGTCCCACGTTTACCTGTCCAAGGTTTGCGAATGAGGCCCAGTGACACCTGGTGTTGCTAATGAAATATTGTAACGACAAACCGCTGACTCCGCCTCCTAGAAACTGCCTCACTTTGAAGGTCAAGCATGCGGACACAGTGCAGCATGCACAGTGCAGTACCTGCAGCAGACAGGAGGTGGCGCTATCAGAAGTGTGAGAATAACAGCCGTCTACAGACAGTCCAGCCACAGACTGAGACACAGACAGACAGACAGGGGAGGGGCCAAATAAAAAGAAAGGAAGAGCAGTGATGTCAGTGAACGTTGCGTCCAGCAGGGACGGACGCGTGGAAGGCGTGTGTCACCTGTCTGTGTGAGCCAGGTCGCCTCTTTATCGTGTTTGTGTCAAAGTCGATCTCAAACACCAGGACACACTGACACACAGACAGACACGCAGACAGACAGGAAGGAAGGTGGCGAGGGCGGAGATAAAAAGAAAGGGGGAGGAGCAAACTGAGGAGGAAGTGAAGATGAGGAAAAAAGAAAAGGGGAAGAAGAAGAAGAGAAGAAGAAGTAGTTAATGCAGAGATTCAGGTGTTAATGACGTGCAGGTGCTTTCAGCTCATCGTCTGTTTCAGTGAATTTAAGCTCCGACAGCTCGGCAGGTTCAGGAAACGCGTCGCACAAACTTTACCACCTCAGTCTCTCCACAGGAAGTGCCGATGCTCACGGGACACACCCACAGCGTTAATCACCTCTGGGTCCAACGATTTCAGCTCCAGTGAGACGATCAGTGTTTGTTCTCCTGGCTGTGACAATAAAGTTTTTCTAAGGATTTGCGAGCGCCGCCGTCACCGTCGGTGATGTTTAGAGAACAATGAGGTCAGCTGACACGTGATGATGCTACAGAAGCAGAGCGGCCAGACTGTTAAACTAAAGTTCACAACGAGGGTCTCTGCTGGGCGGAGACAAACATCACCATGTGACAGGAAGTAGATGCTGAAAAGAGACCAAACTGAACCTGAGAGAGTAACCGCTGCTGCTCGGGTTACTCCTGAACCAGTTTAAACCAGTTTATGGACGCACCGTGTGACCCTTTATAGACTAACATGTCATCACCACAGTCACAGTAGCCACTCAGAGCCCAGAGGAGTAGATAGGAAAGGGGTAAAGGGAGAGGATAAGGACAGGTGGTGCTGGGTGGGGCTTAGAGGAAAGGTGGACAGGTGTGTTCATGCTGATTCAGTCCTCAGAATCCCTCGGGTTTGTGTGCTTTTTCAAAATAAGAGCGCTCTGCTAACACAGGCTAACACGGCTCCAGTGCGATCGAGCGTGGGGTCAAAGTGATCCACAGAGAGAAACACGTCTGTCTGCGTAACGCTAAAATGAGAGCTTGTTTCTCACCTCGACCTTTAACCTTCATTCAAGTTTGTCACTGATCTGGAGCTCCTCCATGTCACGACGTCAAAACTTTGACCGTGCCGCCGGTTCACGTGGTTCATACAGCGGCGAGAAGCCAACCACGAGATGAAAACGAACCCGATAATCAACCACGTAAAACATATTTACACCCAGACGAGTTTCACGCGCTCGAGCCGAGACCACAACACTGAGCAGCTGATAAATATATTTACAAAATAACAGCACGATGAGGAAACGCAGTGCGGACGCAGTTTGTCCTCCAAACGCTTCTGCACACAAACCCGAGCGACCCTGCTCTGAAAATCAGTTAGTAGCTGTTGGGGGTGGGGCCATACTCTTACCATGAACAGGGCGGAGTCGTCTGTGTGGGTGGAGCGTCGGGAGGGGTAGACGTTCTGAGCGCACAGACAGACACCACAGACACACAAACACATTAACAAATACTAACATACAGGTGAGAGCGTGGCGAATGAGGGGTGTGGTTTAAACAGGTGCGGGGCTAGACTCACTGTGCGAGCTTCTAATAACCATCGCTATTAGAAGATCGTTACCTGCTGAGTCGTGCAGCTTTACGTTTTCTCTCAGATATTTGGAACAAAAACGATTTTCCACATTGCACCCATGTCAGAGGTCAGAGGTCATGCGTGCTTGGCTCCACAGTTTGAAACACTCAGCTCTCAGCACCGGTCAGATGGGACAGATCAGCGAGTGAGGGAGCGGGAGTCGCCCTGGGTCACCATGGGCTGTGGAGGCGGGGTTAACTTACGAGACAGGCCTGACCCCGACAGGATGACCCTTGACCTCCATGTCTTCATTTATCTTTGTTAGACGTTAGAAAGTGAACGCACGTGCCGATAAAAACCGACCGACTAATCACGCCCACACTCGCCGGCGTTTTTCTGTCAGCCTCACACAGCACAATGTTTACCTCTGAGCCAACCAATCATCAGCAAGTGAATCACACGCCTCCATCGTTACAGGAAGTGACACAGGAAGTGAAACGTTATGACTCTGATTCCATCAAACCAATCACGAATTATTATTATTGCATCATTTAACAACACCTGTTCACAAAGAGGTTACACACAGACTCACACACAGACTCACACTCACACAGACTCACACACAGACTCACACACACAGACTCACAC